TGAAATCATGTCATCATCACGATACAGAAAATGAAATTATTTCCTAACTTGTAAATCCAGTGTATACATATATTTATTTGTGAATTGCTAATAATTAAAATACCAAACAAACATCAATTATTATCAATAAATAAAGAAAAATATTGCTGTTAAGTCTGTGCATTTAAAAACGAAATACAAAAAGTGAATTTCTGTTTAGACTAGCATCTATAACATAGTATCATCTGTGCCATCACTATACTTCTCCTCTAATATATTGACAGCTCTCATTGGAACTTGAGATGCAATATATGATCTATTATCCGCTATATATTGTATTGCTGGCCCTATCGATTGGTTGGTGATGGAAAGTTCCCCCACGTTCTGCTTTACATCTCGTATGTCGGCCTTGATGGCTTCTAAATTTTGTCGGAATTTTTTAGTGTTCTTTTTGAATCTAAAACAGACAACAACTGCAAAAAATAAATGGAGTGTACATTAGTAAGTAGTACTGAGGTTAATATACTTACATATAATAAGAATAACGACAGCTGCTATAATCAAACTGACTGAGAAACCAACAGACAGACCAATAATGAGTGCCTCACTGGTAGCTACAAATTTTATGATGATAATAATAATAATAATAATAAACAAGACAGTACAAGACAGTTTGAGCAAATTAAAAATTCATAAAAAAATCCAAATTTGATTGGAATCAGCTCAAACTTTCTACACAACACAAGTACATGTATGTGAATCAGAAAAAATTATAAAAATGGAGAATTCTCTCCTTTTCATTTTTGGTGAAATTTGGCTCAAGACCATGTGCTATAGTACACTTTGGCCCGATTTTGGAGCAACTTCAAAAAATCGTAAAAAATCCAAACTTGATCGGAATCAGCTCAAACTTTCTACACAACATAAGTACATGTATATACATCAGATAAAGTTATAAAAACGGAAAACTCTCTCCTTTTCAATTTTGGTAAAATTTGGCTCAAGACCATGTGCTATTATTAGTAACGCGGTAGCGTTACTAAGTAGGATTCACCCCCAAACAAAATGGCTGCCACGACTTTTGCAGCCTTGCTATACCTGGAAAACGAGCTCCTATGCTTACCAGACTTTATAGAGGACCTCATCTTGACAAGAGGACTCCAATGGTACAACTAGCGTGGCTCTAGACCTTGTCTAAGCGAAAAGTCAAAAATCGGCGAACCGGCCGTTTTGTTCAGCCACCTTTTTTCATCTTCATCATCATCATCATCATCATCATCATCATCATCATCATCATCATCTTCATCAAGTCCTGTCAATCCAGTTGTCGGTGTGTATCTCAGTATCAGCTGGTGCTACAAGAATAATTCTTACACCAATCTACTCCAACAGTCTATGCGCAGGTCCATGTCCCATCAGATCATTCTTCAAGTAAGGAAAAAGTGATACTGTGACTGCTGGATCGAGCCATCTTAGCTACATGCCGCCATTTTGTTAATTAAAGAAGCTTGCCATGTGCTCCAAAATTTGGGTGTGGTCGCGCATGCTCAGATATCTGCAGCTCTGGAAGAAGCAAGCTATGCTTGGAATCAACTTACTGCAATACTTTAGTGGAGGTTTCCAGCTAAAAGAAGGTATTGATTTTACATGTTACTGTTTTATCAAGTGTGTTATTTTATTTTATTTTAAAAAACAAACAATTAATTAATGTTATGACTTATGATATGCAATGATAATTATGAACTTGACAACAGCCTGGAAGAACAGGAATAGCAGGGAAGATGGACACTCTTAGCTCACAGATTCTTGAACAAGGACTTGTGTCAAGACTAGTATTAGTTTCACTTGTCATCAGTATAGTTAATATTCCTTCAGCATGTCTATTCAATGCTGTCTCTCATAACTGTTATAACAATGATAATAATAATAAAGAGAATTATTGTTTGTGTAAAATCAACAAGTATCACAATTGCAACATAAATATTATTTTAAAAAATCAACACAAACAAGAACATAAAAAATTAAAAAAAAACAAGATGAAGTAGGATTCCGAACGACCAACGAAAATACAAAATGAAAATCCTACTCGTGATGCAAATTCCACTCTACATTGCAAGGTGATCCGTAATTCTTACATAATAACATTAAAAATACAATGTAGAGTAGAATTTGCATCACGAGTAGGATTTTCATTTTGTATTTTCGTTGGTCGTTCGGAATCCTACTTCATCCT